AAAAAAAAAAAAAAAAGAAAGATTGGTGGCAAGGTCCAAACTGATATAACCTACCCTGCTGGTTTTATGGATGTCATCACCATTGACAAGACTGAGGAGAATTTCTGTCTGATCTATGACACCAAGGGTCGCTTTGCTGTTCATTGGATTACACCTGAGAAGGCCAAGTATAAGTTGTGCAAAGTGAGAAAGATCTTTGTGGGGACAAAAGGAATCCCCATCTGGTGACTCAAGATGCTCACACCATCTGCTATCCTGATCCCCTCATTAAGGTGAATAACACCATTCAGATTGATTTGGAGACTGGGGAGATCACTGATTTCATCAAGTTTGACACTGGCAATCTGTGTATGGTGACCAGAGGTGCTAACCTGGGAAGAACTGGTGTGATCACCAACAGAGAGAGAGACACCCTGGTTCTTTTGATGTCGTTCACGTGAAAGATGCCAATGGCAACAGCTTTGCCACCCAACTCTCCAACATTTTTGTTACTGGCAAAGGCAACAAACCATGGATTTCTCCTCCCCGTGGAAAGGGTATCCACCTCACCATTGCTGAAGAGAGGGACAAGAGACTGGCGGGCAAACAGAGCAGTGGGTAAAATGGTCCCTAGGTGATGTGATTGAAAGTCTTTATAGTTAATTAAAGATCATACAGCACAAAAAAATTTTTAAAAAATATTTTATATCTCGTGTCCTGAGTGTCCCCTTTCACTCTCCAAACCTTCCTGGTTTGATGAATTGGAATTTATTAAAGGAAGATATATGACAAAGAACTCATATTCAAACTGTATTGAGAACTTCTATAGATCAATAAGGAAAAGACAAATAACTCAATTTAAAAATGGGCAAGACTTGAGCCAGCCAGGGAATATCCACGTGGCCAAAAAGTATATAAAAAGGTGCTAAAGTTCAAGATTCAACAGGGGAACGCCAATTAAAACCACACAGATAGGGGTGCCTGGGTGGCTCAGTCGTTAAGCGCCTGCCTTCGGCTCAGGTCATGATGCCAGCGTGCTGGGATCGAGCCCCGCATCGGGCTCCCTGCTCGGCGGGAAGCCTGCTTCTCCCTCTTTCATTCCCCCTGCTTGTGTTCCTCTCTCACTGTGTCTCTCTCTGTCAAATAAATAAATAAAATCTTAAAAAAAAAAAAAAAACCACACAGATAGCACTCAATATACATCCACAAGAATGGCTAAAAATGAAAATATTGACAATACCGAGTGTTGGGGAAAGTGTGGAAAGAAGCTGAGAACGTTCCAAGTCATCAAGAATAGCAAGGTTTCGGGGACCTTCTTTTTGTTTATTTCTCTTCTCTTTCATTTCAATATAAGTAGCAAGAAGAAACTAGGGACGGTGGGAAGCTCTTCATGGATCCTTGACATGTTCTATATCTTTTTTTTTTTTAAAGACTTTATTTATTTGACAGAGAGAGACACAGCGAGAGAGGGAACACAAGCAGGGGGAGTGGGAGAGGGAGAAGCAGGCTTCCCGCGGAGCAGGGAGCCCGATGCGGGGGCTCGATCCCAGGACCCCGGGATCATGACCGGAGCCGAAGGCAGAGCTTAACGACTGAGCCACCCAGGCGCCCCGACATGTTCTATATCTTGATCTGGATGGAGATTACATGATTGTGTGAACACGCAAAAGATACACTGAGGACGCACGCATCTTACCGTAGTTCTGTTACACCTTCATATTTTAAAAAGAGTGCTGAGTGTGAGCACGTGCGCGCGCACGAGCGTCCAGTGGCGGAAAACAGAGATTGGCGCGCGTGCGTGTACGTGAGCGCGCGGAGGCCGGAGGCTGGGGCGTGCACGCGCCCGCGTGCGTGCGGAGGGGCCGGAAGCAGGACTGGGAAGCCGGAAGCGGGGCGGGCAGTCCGGCCGTAGCGGGTCATGGAGGATCGCCCGGCGGGTCGTGGGCTGGCGCGCGAGGGGTCGGAGGAGGAGGAGGCCGAGCTCCAGGGAGCTGCCTGGAGCGGGGACAGCGGCAACGTGTCCCAGAGCCACAGCAGCGCGTCGGGGCCGTGGGAGGACGAGGGCTCAGAGCTGGGCGCGCCGGGCCGCGATCTGCCGCTGCTGCGCCGCGCCGCCGCGGGCTACGCCGCCTGCCTGCTGCCGGGAGCCGGGGCGCGGCCCGAGGTCGAGGCCCTGGACGCCAGCCTGGAGGACCTGCTCACCAGAGTGGACGAGTTCGTGGGCATGCTGGACATGCTGCGCGGCGACTCCTCCCACGTCGTCAGCGAGGGTGTGCCTCGCATTTACGCGAAGGCCACCGAGATGCGGCAGGTCTACAGCAAGATCGACCGGCTCGAGGCCTTCGTGGGGATGATCGGCGCCAGCGTGGCCAGGATGGAGGAGCAGGTGGCCAGGGCGGAGGCCGAGCTGGGCGCTTTCCCCAGCGCCTTCAGGAAACTGCTGCACACGATCAGCGTGCCCTCCTTCTTCAACAAGGCGCCCTCCGGCAGGCCGCCGCAGAGCGGCTATGAGCCGCCCGTCCTGTTCCGGACCGAAGACCACTTTCCCTGTTGCAGCGAGAGACCCCAGGTCTGAGTCCGCCGGCCGGCTCCGCGAGGGGACGCCGTCTGAGATTACCCCGGGTGCTGAGTCAGCTGGAAGTCCGCTGTAGACATCCACGGTGTTGGGAGTATGGCGTATTTATCTTTTGCACACTTTTGTTTCACTGTTTGCATGACTTCACGTAAGGATGTATGGTTTTCTGTGTCTTCCCATGCTAAACTGAGGGCTGCATGGTGGGGGGCGTCGGGGAAGCCAAATGAATGAGTTTATCTGTGCGCTGTGGCAAAACTGGTTTTTATAGGTTTTACAGCTCAACCAATAGTATTACCTTTTCCAGGTTTCTATATTTTATACTCTTAAGAAGAACTGCTGAAATGTTCACGTCTTGTTATTATTCGATCCTAATAGCGATTCCATTTTCTGTAGCTTTTAGGGTAGATAGGGTAAGTTATTTCAGGTTATATTAAACTTTGCACATCATGGGTTGTAAACCGAAGGAAATCATACAATTTCTGAGAAGATGTATTGATTTATTGCAACTAGTTCTGAAGTTGTATTTGAAAGTAGGCCCTCCGAATCTTAATTTGTCCACAGCAAACATGTCTATATGTGGTTGCTAACATCTGGTTTATAATTTAAATATTAATAAAAATTTCAAATTTTATTGGAAAAGCTTTTCTTCTGGAAAGGATTTTACATATTTCTTTTTTCGTTTGTTTGAAAATAGATATATTGCTCATAATTATAGAGATAAGGAAAAGTGGCTTGGGAGTGAGTACCTCCTTTAGAATGTGAAAAAGCTTAGCTACTATTTCACAGAATTTTATGTTTCTTTCCTCTCAAAGTGAATAGTTAAATCACATCTGTGAATTACTGGTATTAGGATTTTGTTCCTTCACCCACAGCATGGAATCCTAAAGATGTTTTGCAGATACAACAGGCTTTGATCTTGATTTGGATCTTAATCTGTTTTATTAATTGGTCCTCCTAGACAGTAGACCTCAAGCACCCAGCTTAGGTTGC